CCCCCCCCCCCCTCCAACTTCCTTTTCTTTCTAGCGCTCCCTCACAAAGCTCGAGAACAGTATTGCTTATTCAAGTCGCTACCACGGTGTTGCGTATTGCGTAAGCTCCCATTGGAAGCCTTGACTCGAAACTCGAAACAGATTCCGCCCGGTATGACCTTTCACCTCCCAAAGGGTCAGTAGTAAACCGTGACAAAGCTAGGCTAGTGGCAGGCGGTAGTGTGGATACGCTAAGGCAGAACGTATGGTCGGAAATCACATTCAGGAATAGAGGTCATAAATGGAGGCCAAGGAATGCACGCATGAGTTCTAAATTCGAGAGGCCTTTCTAGTTTGTGTCTGATAACAAGTGCCATCTGGAGGTTCATGGTCCGTTTAGCATTTGAAAGATTCTATATAAGTAACGGAGCAACATTTTGATTCACTTGCCGGTGTTGCTACTTGGACAGTCTTCGGTTTTCTACCCGCCACAGGTTTGTGGGTTCTGCTGCTATGTTTTTGTTGACCTCGTCATTTATTTATTTTCTCTGCTGTGTGGAGTAGGCTAAGTTCAGGGGGTTTTCAAGCTATGGCTGGTTTGTTCCCACGAAATGATTAATTACGCTACCGTTAACCAAGTGGCAAGGGAGATGCCATTAGATTTGTTATTTCTAACTGAGTGTATAATAAGCCGGGGAGTAAAGTTTACTAACTTATGACGATGTCTTATATCTAATCTATTTATCATACCACTGCTCTGAGTAGTCGCTACCATTCAACACTCGCTAACGGCGTTCTGAAAGTACTAAACAGATAAATAAACGAACGCACTATGCAAGGAATTAAAAGTTTGATAATAAGTAAGATGAATTAGCTGGGTTTTCGGAGTTTTCTAATGACTGTAAATAACAAGCGATGCGGTGTGCCGGTTGTAGTGACGCGCTGTATACAAACAGTTAAAAGCGAGCATTCTGATTTGAAAACGATATCTTCCTCACACCAGGTGCGCTATTATGTAGGGCTATAATGTCCCCGGTTATTAGCAATTGTCTCTCAACAACTGAAGCACAGTGAGAGTTTTTTGTTTTGTTCTGCGAAGTCAATTGTTTACTCGACGCATCCATTTCCATAATACGTAAAACAGGGAGACGATTCTATTGCCAATTCACATTTTTTATACCAATTTTGTATTCAGAATACTCTCCTATTAAACAGTCCCCATCATCATCATCATCATCATCATCATCATCATCATCATCATCATCATCATCATCATCATCATCATCATCATCATCATAACTACTAATACGGTATTAGCAACATCATTACTTCAAACTGCAAAAGCAACAAGGGGGTTGGGGGTTGGGGGTGGGGTGGGGCTCTCGTGGCCTAGATGCTAAGATATTCGCTTCCCATTCTATGGGGCCAGGTTCGAACCCGGAAAGCGACGGAAAATTTTCTGCTTTAAAATTTTCATCTTTCACATTCTTTCCTGCTCTTTTACAATGCTCTGTCGTCTGCTTTCGTCTCCATTTTCTGCTCCGACCCCCTCACCCCCTTTGCCCGCCTCCTCTGGGCTCCCGACTCTTTCTGCAGCCTTACTACTGATACTCCTTGGCTCCTTCTTACTGGTGTATTTCCGCCACACCCCTGATCTTATGGTAGGAAAGATCTTCACTTAGTCTTCTCGGACAAGAGCGAAAGTCTCGGAGGTCTCGTGTGCAAGTTGCGCACGTTAAAGATCCCTGGTGGTCCAAAAATCGAAAAGAGTAGGCTTCGGCCGCAAGCCGAGCAAAATTTAAAATTTCCTTCCTACTGAAAACGTTTAATGTGGCCCGTGCTCTCATATGATATTATGCAGTCGCGAGCGCCGTAAAACACTTTTTTAAAAATAAAGCAAAAATAGGAGGAGGAAGCATGCCTTGGAGTGCAACATCCACTATCCACATAACCAGCGACAATGAGAAGAACAGTAACAAAAACAACAGTAACCACAACAGCTACATAAGTTTCCCACTCCTTCCTCC